AAAGGGCTTCTGAAACTGCTGTGTCGACATTAGGACCTAGTCCCGTCTTTCACCATCCTCATTACATTCCTTTCCTTTTGTTCCGATTAGAACCTTTTCAGCTGTTCTTCTGGAACCAGTGTTGTCGAAGAAACCACCGGCTATGACCTCGGAATAAATATAGCCAACTTTGTGAAGCTTTTCCTGGTCTACATAAATCCTCATTTCCTCTTTGTCTCAGCTCGATATTGGTGCGTAAGCAAAGAAAATTATTACATAGGTCGGAGTTCAGCCGCATCTTTTGAATCGCCACCGTCACATTCGGAATGTTAAGCTTCCCGACGAACTCATGTTCCTGGTCAAGTGCGTACTCTTGAGAATACCCACACTCGTCTCGCCTCTGTTATCGCATATGCCAAGAAAGAATTCTTCAGTCTCAAAGACGGCGTGCAGTGAGCGGTGCTTCCTCGTCTCAATCAGTCAGAAGCTTGATGTTTCTGACTTTCACCGTTTTTCACCCACCATTTTAGGCACCTGGGCCTTGCCCTGACATTTACCAGTCTCTCCCTGGCGATCATACCTAGAAATGTCATGGTGTATCTCCCTCGGGTAGTCGGAGAGTGATACCGTTTTTACCGCTTTCGCAAAACAGTTACCCTGTGAGTAGCTTTCCGGAGAGGTAACTTGAGTGCTGGGCTGAATGTTTTTAATTGCTTCGAAAATTTCGGCTAATTTCTAGAGATGCATTGGTTCCTTCCCAATAATAGTTCCACAATTTTTGATCTTAAATTCCCATCATTAATTCATATATAATAGATGAAATTTATTATAATAGGGAGTTTGCCCCAGGGTCTTCTTGGTGTTGCACTTTGAAGAGTGACCGAGTAAGGGTCTACACTGAAATGTCTAACCCTACGTCAACCTATAAAGGAGCAGTCATTCCTAGAAAGGTGAGCATTCCTTATTTTCAGGGCCCACTACATGTCCTGTTTAAAGAGTTGGCCGGCCCGGGTTTATTGAAGGCGTGGTTGGCCTAGGCGGATCTCGATTCGAGATTCGAACCTGTGACCATATGTGCGTGATGGTGCATCACTTGCCACTACACCATTTCCTCCTTTCCTCCTGAAAGAATTGCGCGAATGATTGGTATACGAAGGCGCTGAGCTGGGATAGGTGCACACATAAAAATCATAAACCAAAATACAAACAAAGTTGGAAACAGTACATATATGGAGCTACTGTGCAGTCTGACAGGGAATTTTGAAAACAATGGTAGGAAACTAATCGAACGGAATCGATGATCTTATCATTCTCGAAGACATTATAGAGGCGATAGCTGAATATGTATATCATAAACGTTGGACGTCTCCCACACATATAATCTTGGTATCGCAAGATTGAGCCCCTGTGAAATGGACATTATCAATTCATGCATTGGTGCGAGAAAGCATCAAATCCATCGATTCTTCATTGTTCAAGTATATTTCTGTGCATATTGTGTAGAACGCCGTGGGGCAAGTAGGAGAAAAACGAGATGTGATGAACGAGTGAAGCTCAAGTGCACCATCAAATCATAATCCATCAGAATGACTCTCTTCACAGCCAATAGTCGAATTCGCTCACGACTTCCGGGTAATAGCACCCAGAGCAAATATGTAGCTGAGATCCATGCAACATCAAGCGCATCAGCTATATGAGCTGTATGAATCGTTGTATAAAACGCGAAAAATGTCGAATCTCCCATCTGCTGTGGTTCATCCCTCAGCTCAATTTCTAACGTACAAACGTGCTAGCTTGCACTTCCTAGTACCTTCAAAAAACGTGTTTATCTCGATCTTCCCATTCGATACGGGGTTGCTGTCAATAACCTGACTGTAATAGGGTTCGCAACATTGGTTGAGCACTAAAATGTTCTCTATTCATCGGTCCCTATAGGCAAAATGCTGATTAGAAGGAGTTTCATCTAGGCCACATTTACGATACATGATCATCTAGTCTTCAAGTGATGCATAAGTCTCAAACTATTTGGAAAAACAAAACGCTGAATAAGTTTCTAATGCACCCATCAACATTGAAAAGAAAGCTCAGCAACACTATTTCTGAAATTCTGATAGAAGTGAATTCATAGTTGCAGTTACTTAAGTAAAGTAGTGCATGTTTGAAAGCAGCTACATAACTTGAGAAGTAGATATGACGAATAGTGCTTTGCAGGCCAATGCTTTCTTAAAGTTCATTGATGACTCCTATTATCATCAAAGCTGTTTTAGAGATCTGAGAACCGAATCACTTGATGTTTTTTGCCTGCACGCTTTCGTCCATTTTCGTGGGTGCTGATTGTGACAGGTCATCCTACTCTCACATCATATGTCTTCGGTATATTCACGATCAACGACTGTGCTATTCAAGAGCCGTTAGTGCTGAAGCTGTGTATATTATAGCCCTTTTTGACTGATATCAGCTGATTTCGAAGAGCGAAAAAGCTGGCTCGCTCGAGCAGATAAAGTTTCCTAGCAATGTAATGACTAATGGGAATGATTGAACGCTAAAATTCAAACGAGTATAGCATCAATTGTAAAAAAATAGACGGATCTTGAGATAGGCAATGCAAGAACACATAGGAAGTGAAGAATTCCGAAGGACTCGTTGTCGTATTATCCGCATAACAGACACGGATGAACCGTCATCAATAATAGTATGCACGCTACGAACGGCGTATCACGAATAAGCGGCATTCATTTTTACATTCTGGCGCACCAACAAATTCATTTGCTTCCGAAATACCGACCAACAATCCATTTTTATGAAAATCGTAGGGAACTGTATCTCTGCTCGTCAGCAGCTCCGATGGAACAGATTCATCCGATGGTTGTGAGTGTACAACAATCATATGAAGACTGCAATTAAGGTAGAAACACTTTTCTGTGAGGTCACAGGAGCTGACTAAATTTTTCAAACATTTCATCCCACCATGGGTGTTCTCATAGAGATAAGGCTTGTATATTGCTACATACAGTATCTTTTGGGAGCTTTCCATTGGACGATTCACATCCATAGTTCCAATGTGCCCAGACTTTTTCAGGTACTAGGTACTATCCACGGAGCTTACACGGCAGTCCTTTCCATTACTTGCAAGTGAGTCCCCAAATCTAAATTGCAAATACCTTCTCCAACTCTGCAGGACTTCTATCATGTTCCTACTTTGCAAAAAAAGTTACTCTCCCTTAATCCACAGTAGGATTGAGGTTGTAGTGACATGTGGCTTGTGTTGTTGTGGCCAAGTATTTATCATAAACGGACGGTTCGAGACCGAATTGTGAATCGCTACTCGCTTAGGCCAGTCAACTCATATATTCGTTCAAGGCCTCTCATTTGGTACTAGACTCTTCTGGAAAATAAAAGCTCTGAGTACACCGGTTGGCCACTTACAGCTATTGTATGGGCCACATTCGAAACACCTCTACGATTCTGAACGATTCTGAATGGAAGCCCAGTGCTGGAGCGCATCCTGAAAGCGGGATTGTTCATCGCTAGAAGTACTTCACTGTGTGATTACTAGACCGAATAGAAATCTATCCTGACCAAAAGGCAAAAGAAATATGCATCGTATCAGAAATCATTTACTACATCCCACATCTACCCTTTTCCTCATTTTTTCTCGAGCTCTTCAAACTTGCCGATATGTTTTTAAGGAAGTACTTTTAGATCTCGTGGCTGGAGTGCTATGGAAGCTCTAAATTGAATTCCTGTGGAACTGGCAAGGTATTGTAACGTTGGTTTGGTACCTACTAGACTTATTTACCTACTAGTACATTACACTGTTTACCATTACATTACTGTTTTGCAGCCTGTATCAAAAGTCCATTTCTTGTTTTTTATCTAACTTATCACAACGATAAATACCTTCCACGCCTACACACGTCCATATGCAATATTTGCACCTCACAAATCGGTTGTCTGAAAGTTCAGGCGTTGAAACCAGGCATGCACAGAACCGCTTACAAAAAGGTCTGTGATCATCTATCTACCGGACAGGATTTAAGCTCGTAAAGGAGTGGTGATGGAATACTAGGGAAGAACTAGGTCATTATTGGCCAAAAAGCACGGAACAAGAAGCTACAACAAGAAGAACGGAAGAAATCTTATGCGCAAAGTACAAGTTTCCTATGTCCTCTTGAAGTAATTCCATGGAAACATTTAGATAACTCCGTAAAGTATCTGGGCTCTTTCTAAATGTCAGGCAGGTATTCTCCGAATGATCCAGTGATTGCTTCATCATTGAACTGCTTAGCTGAAATGGATGGCTTCCTGTAGCACATGAGTGTCAGAAATTTGACTGATTGCAATCTAATATTCTTCTTTATAGGCAGTGCATAGTGAGAGGAGATCCTACGCACATAAAGTTCATATTCTTGTCACTGACATGGATTAGAGCTAAGTTTCTTTCAGAAATTACAGGGGTGCAATTCCAGTCGAGATGAATTTGAGAGACATTTATTGAGTAGTTCTATTTCGTTTTGTTGTGTCACCTTCCAGTTAATTGGTGTCAAAATAAATGAGCTCAAGATTTTGCAAAATGCAACCTGCAACAATTTATGAATAGTATTGATGGAAGCAAGCATGAGTCGATGACAAAACATCACTTTGGGCTGAGACATTTATGCCAATCTTCATATGACTCGTTCTTTGAAGGTTATGCGGCATTGAACAAATCGCAAATCCAATACAATTCAGTAACAAATGCAATTAATCTGGAGTAGTTCATCACCAATATGGCATACAGCGCATGTACATATTGAATAAATATCATTTAACAGACCGAACCTATTAAAACCACCGACAGGTTTCATCAGGCATGCACGGACAATGTTAGATAGATTTGTTGAAATAAACAGATATTGCGAGGGAACAACAGAGACTCAGAGATGCATGGAATTTTTGATAATACGGATACAAAAAGTGGAAAGACACGTTTCTTTTGAAAAATACGTTTAATAATGGACTAATACCCATTTTGTTTCAGTCTATTTGCCAGTATTCGTCACGTAATGTATCGATTCAAACCATCGATTGGGTTGGAATCGGTTCCAGAATCCTGGCCCTGAAAACCGCTTGCTAGAGTGAGACTAACTCTCCCTATACCTATAATCCCCTATAGTAATACTGGATTACTTCTGAATACAACAACAAAACTAATTGCCAGCATGACCGCTGACAGCTGAAGAAGAATTGAAGAAACATGATGAAAGCACAAACTGGTTTTACCTCTTCCACCTGCTTTCTGAAATGCGAGTTCAGGTCCGGCAATCGGAGGAACTGTCATTGGCAATGGTTTGAACGTATGCCTCTCACTTGAAGCGGACGATCGCGTTTCCTTAGGAACTTCCGTTTGACTACTTGCCTTCTGTGTAGGACTCGCTCTGCAAAGATTCAACGTGATCACCTGGATGAAGATGAACTCAACCGGACTGCACCAAAAGAAAACGGTATACTGATAATATTCAGTGCAATTTTCATAACAGAACAGATTTTGTTTTTTATAAATGCTAAGTAGGCTTTAAATTATTTTTGAAATTGTTTAAGACCTAAGAATAGCAAACAGTGGCTAGCCATTTAGATGAATGTCTGGAAGCGAAGAAAGCTTAGTTCACGGCTTACTATTTCTTTGGGGACTAGTCGTAGTAATTTTCGTGAATATAGCAATATAAGATAAATAACATCAAAATATATCGGTATAAAAAGCGCGGTATATCTGTATCCCATTCGCAATCTCTATAGTGACCTAACCGCATGAACTATTTGTGTGCGCATAGAGTTTACCACTTCGATTGATTCCTTTCCCACGTAGCCATAAAGACTTTCGCTTGCGTCATCAGCCAACAACTATGAGCGGAAAAGCTCGGGGCGTACGTAGGTGGGGCGAAGACATAACATGGGGGTCCCCCCATTTGAGGCGGAGCCCTAGACAGTAGTCGGTAGTAGTTGGACTGGCGTCTTGTTGCCGACCTTGAATGACTTCTGGAGATGTCCGATTTACGAAATAAGCCTTGTGGAGCTTCCTTTAGCAAGGGATAAGGTTCTGCTGCGCTCATCCCGTTTAAACTTCTTTCCCACAGCATAGGGTGATTGATGGGCTGAATGCGTAGGTGGAACTATCCTGAAGGCTAGGTAAATTTACGGTTCCCAAATCCGTAATCGTAGTTTGCGGCCCTGTTGAATTTCCCTACCTCCGCTGTATAAAATTGTGTTCCAACGAATAGTTTTCCAAGTGACTTCGTTTCTCCTCCTCCGAAGGAGGCGAAGAAAAACTAAAACTTAGCCGAGTTAAGTGGTTGTCGAAAATTTTGGCGCTGAGCTTGAAAAGAGGAGCTTACACTCAAACTGGGGATTGCTCCGTTTAGTGATTATCGCGGGGATATCATGAAATCACAACATGAAAAAAACAAGGAAGCTCAAGCTCCGCAAACACCTACTTGAGTTCGTTCTTTGCTCTATGTAACTGGAGGTTCGACCAACTTACGTGGTGGTTACTTCTTCCTTTGGAGTAGTTTCTTCTCTTGGAAATTCTTCGGTATCCACAACTAACTTCGACTCCTCTTCATCCTCAGGACTGCCCTTAATTTCAAATCAAATTCAGAAAATGTTCATTTTCACGTGGTGTTCATTATGAATGATCGTGATCCGGTTCTACTAAAAACTTGCCATGGGAACATTTCAGAAAGGCTCAATCAGTAAGAAGATGTCAGGCATGGTTAAATGACCACAGCTTGAAGGGGATCCCTTATGGTTAGTATATCCGCACAACTTATTCACTTCCTCGGGGGAAAAATGAGGAAATGGTAGCAAGATCAGAAGTGATGAAGGCAAAGTACGACATGAATATGAAATTAAATGGCAGACCAGATTGCAGACATTTAAGAATGGCATTTATGGAAATTCAGCTCTCGAGTGAAGAACAGAAAAATGATTGGAGATGACTAGGTAAAGAGGGGACTCATGTCATGCGGTAGAAAATGTGGGCCTCCCCTATACTACCCTCGCATAAGTCACTTTTTTGTCCACATCTATAATCAAGTCTCTAACAATCAGCTGACCTCTACTTCCACAGGCAACTCATCATCAGGTGTTGAGGGTGTGACCGTCGTAGATAGCAGACGCTTCCAGAATGGGATGTACTTCGACGAAACTTTAGAGTTTTGGCTTACAGTAAATCTACAAAAATTTTAAGCTTTGATGGTTGGTTCAGAGCTACTATAACACTGCCATTACCTGTCCCAGATATTATTTTTTGAAGAGCTGACAGTCACTGGTGGACGAGTTGTTGTAGGTTTAGAGCGGGTTGTCCTGCTTCTGTTAGACGGCTAGAAATTCTGGGTGTTTTTATTAGCTCACAGAATTCTTTGTATCCGAAAACAGTTCCGTGCAGTGTGAAATAATATAAAAACTCAGTTTAACACCACCGAAAACTGAAAATGGAAAGGAAACTGAAGCAATGGAGACACAGTCTTTACGAGCATTCTTACCCTCCTCTTTGTTGTCGTAGTGACTTCCTCCTGTTCCACTTCATAGTCAATGCTTTCGGGAGCAGCAGTCGTTTTCGTTGCTCTTGCTTTCAGGGACTTTGGGCCTCTCGTCAGTAAACGAAGCCGATTCATCTACAGATGGAAAATAACCAAATCAGCATGCAAAAAGGCAAGGAGAAGCAGAGGTGAGGAGAGAAGCTTAAGCGATTTCGATTTTCAGAACCACCTTACAGAATTTTTCTCAAGGTAATTCAATGCTTCAGGGATAGATGAGGAAGCGACCCTCGAATAAAGCACATAACGAAAGAAGTGACAAAGGTGCAAAGCAAAATTATGTCTTCACTCTTCAGCTTTTCCATCCCTGTTATGGGCCCTAAGCAGTGGAAAAGTAGGCGTATACTAGTGCAGTGAACATATACATATATGTAAATGAATCGGAAAAGTCTTTGCATATTTTTATTTCCATTTTGTGAAATTTTCGGGGATTGCTTGACAACGTTCATTGCTGAACATGTGTAAGTGCAGTTTAGTGCGCTCTTCACACCATATCGTAGCATTTCGCTACGGTTACGACTAGAAGAATCGCCCTCGACCCAAGGCAAGTTACCCTGTCTCTGCTTTATAAGTTCAGAGATTCAGAGAAAACGATTCAAATGCCGCCATTCGATACATACATCTCTCTTTATTTGGAGGGTGGTCACCACCTCCAAATGAGAAGAGATGCATGCCTGAACTTGCATGCCTGAACTTCCGAAGCAATGAACAAAGAGCACTGAAGCAACAAAATGAAACTCCAACCTGAAAAGGCAACGCTTAGCGTCTGGAATAGGAGAGGGATTTTCAGAAAGAGTTGCTGCCAACAAGCTCTACTGTTACCACTGAAGTCTATGGTACCCTACTGGGAAGCGTTGCTGCTCTACGAGAGAAGCAGCGGCGAGTCTGGTTTCTCCATGGCAATCCTCGCTCACTCTTTGCGAAGAAGGCCCAGAAAAAACTTTAAAGCTAGGCATGACTTGCTATGACCCATCCACCGTATCCATGGAAAATAAAAGTTCTATGATGTGAACCAACTCGAGACATACACCAGCAAGTTTTTCTCCTCGAAACCTCAGGACTTCTATGCAGGCGGGATCCACAAGTTGCATGGTAAATGGCAATACTCGTCGATAATGGTAATGCATATAGTTGTTAATTGTTGGTTGTGGTGAAGGAAAAAAATAAATTCGAAAAAAGTTGCTAAATGTGAAGAGACTTTTCCGACGACTAATGTATATGTATATGTTCACATATACACATGCATGTATATATGTGTACATGTTCTGAGCAAGGGCTGAAGATGCATTCATGCTGACCCTTGTGGTAGTTTCCGTCATTTCTTCTTCAGTGATGATCGTCGAGTTGAGGATTCCCGTCTGTGTATTGCAAATAGCCGTCGCGTAACATCTCGAGATCATCTAAACAAAACGTTTGAAAGCGAAAAGCAATAGCGTTGACTCATGAGGAAAGCGATAATGATGATGATGATGAACGAAAAACTACGTCTACCACAGTGTTTATACGTTCATCTTCATCCTTAATTTTTTCCCCTTATTTCATTAGTTTTTCACAACTTTTTTAATTCGACACAAAGAGCCAATGAAAAAGTGCATTTTTTAAAATAGAATTTTAGAAATCGAGTAGTTATTAAGAAACAGTTGAAACGTGTGCTCACCACCTCAAAGGTAAGGATATCAAACATTGTTTCACACGAGACGACAACTACTGCTGTAATGACAATAGTGTGCTATTTTGCACTCACGGTTCCGGCTGCAAATCCCGAATCGGTACCCGCCCAGGCCTCAAGCTTTCCATCCCTGCGGGATCGGCCCATTGGTACCAGACTCGGGTAGGAGGATGAAAGCACTCGCTTGTGCATCGGCTGTCTACCACAAGTCATTGTATATTATGTATTATACATACATAAGTATATGCTCTATATGCATTCAAACCGTCATAACAATTGTGAAAGGAAACCGAGTGCTGGTCACATCCTAAAGACGGGTTTGAGCACACCAAAGACAAGAGCACTCCTAAAGAAACGTGTCTTAAAGTCATGACGGCCCAAAGTCGATTTTAACTAGTAATCAGCAATGTTTGTAAGGTTACTACCAAGTCTTAGATTGACGTTGCGCGAGCCATTTTTGCCCCAGTTGGTAGGCATTTGAGGAAGTCGGCGTATGCTGTCTCCCCTGATTAACGATAGAGGAATAAAAATGGTGAAAAAGTGATGATTAAGTGGCTGACAATTCTTCAGAAGGATTCTTTCAAGGGTCTCTTGTAATACGAAGCGAAACAAATAGTGAAGGACGGGTAGTAGAATAATAAAGTCTCTAATGTGATTCCGTGGAAATATGGCTGAACTTCCATGTGATGCGGCAATGGGCGAAGTAGTACGGGCGCACAACCAGGCTCCATAAATTTCATACCCAAAATCCGGGAAACTCTGGCTTGATTACTCAGGGAGCAAAGTAACCAAACATATAAAGCATACCTGAATCCTTTCTCGGTTTAGATTCTAAATGAAATGCTAAAAATTGCTTTGTCGCTCCAATATTTGAAGCACAACATTGGAGTTCTGGATTTAGTGGGTAAGCTTTCAAGCTCGAAAATAGAGCTAAGGAATATACTGGTTTCGAAATTCAATTTTATTCAAAACATTCCTTTCCGCCAAAGAAAGCCATTGTTAGGAGTATGGACCCTTGAGGCGAAGCAGAGGGGTCAAGCGCACTGTAACCATAGAGATAAAGTACACTTTCCCTCACGCTGCTCTTACAATACTGAAGGTGAAGAGCTACGAGCTGGATTCCTCAGTTTCTCCGAATATTTCTAATACTATCGTTCTTGGCATACCGTTCACCACAAAAACTTACATCTTTTGACTGTTTGTCCTAGTTCAAACTTTTGCTATTTCGAAGATTTGTGCAACCTTTTTTTGAACTGAAGCTACTCAAAAGCACCGAATTCTAAGTTTATTGGTGCGTTCCCTGCAATTTATGCTTTCCTCAGTAGTTCTTTGAACCTAAACGGCGGCTGCAATAGCCAGTTACAACGTTATAAACACATCAAAACCACCCAAAACCATTAAGGAGTGGACTGGAACAGCGGTAGATTTTCAAAGACAATGAAGCACCGATTCTGTCCTTAGACGACGATATGCTACCACTCAATCAGCTCTGAAAGTCCAAGTTAGCTCCCCTTATGCGTTGATTTCTCGCCTAGTGAGGTTTGTTCCCCAGCTTCCATGTTGTTCCTTTACTGTACTGTTATAGATGTTTGGTCATACATGACGCTACTGCCGACTGTGCTTTTATCAATTGAGAAGTGCGACTTTCATAGCTTTAATTCCTTCCCAATGAGGTTTCTTTGTCTGCCGGTACAAAAAAAAATTCACCGCAATCGAGGAGTGTTTATCTTTTCGCGTCTGGCCAAACAAGAATTCCAAGTGTTAAAATTCCCAACGACCTCCCTCTTCTAATATTTGGTCAAATGCAGTACTATAAAGCTTGCAGGAATGCATTTTTCTTATGTAAAGTTGAAACGAAGTAGTCTTGGGGAACTCATATGGAAAATTCGAACCTGATGAATGTAGGCCTTGGCTTTGTAGCCGTCCTTACGATACTTTGCCAGGAACGTTTCAAATGTCCCGGACTGGCGACAGTAGGCAGCATCCGAGGCATCTTGACATTTGAATGATAGCTTTTCTCCTGGAAAAGGTTTATTCATAGATTTTATAATGACTTTCTTGCTAAAATAAGACGCATAAAGTTGAAACCCGTCATGGGGTACGAATTCCATGATCCGCCACATGAATCACGTCCTTTCAATGATAACTTTTTTGAAAAAATGCACGACTCCTTTTTCTTTTTGTTTACGTTTTTCACATTATGAAAGACTCATTGGCTATCATTACAGTCACTCTCAAAGCCTTCCTACTTTTCCCGAGTAACGGATCTGGTACACAGTAGGCCCCCTCGATGGTCATTGTTTAATGTCTAATCTGTTTTCGAGGTCTTATCATCAAAGGTGTTTTGCGAGGCTGGTGAGTCGTGCGCCTCACAAGAGCAGCGTCAAACATAGTTGAAGATAGCAGCAGTTACGAAAAATCGGACTCTACACAAGCACCAAGAAACCATCAAATTCTTTCAGAACTGAATCGAAACGTGAAGTGCTGGCACTACACATCGCTCCATTATCCTACTGCAAATCATCTGATCATCCGAAGAGCTATTTGTGAAGACCAAAAAACCCTCTCGTCTTGGGTCTCCTGCACCCTTACTATTCTTTTTAAACCATCAAGTAAGAGCTAACCAATTTCCTCTAGATAACTCAAGAAAGTATGGTGTTCCTTATCTGTTTATCAGAATAATAATGCAGTCTTAGTGTTGAACGAGAACAGGACAAGGGGCGGCACAAGTGGAAGAACCCCTCTTTACAATAAAGGGGTCGAATTCCCTTTCTTCCGGGTTGCATAGAGAGCACTTAACTAGTCTGTCAGATAAAGGTAATTGGTTATGCCTATTCAGTTTTCCGAAAACGTTGTACAGGCCCACGTTTCCTCAGGAATTCTTGTTCTGATTGAAAAGAGGCTCCGAACCCAACCCACAGCGTACTGCTGCTCTACTGTTTCCCACGGTCTCACGTGGACAACCTCAAGGAAATGAACTATTTGAGATGGAGGGCTCTTATAAATCTACAATTGCCTGTTCTACGAGCATATTCGCCTAAAAAAAGATTTCAGTTCCATAGCGGCAAGTGAGCCGAAGAGGAAACGAATCACCTTGATAAACTCACCTCGCTCATGGCAATAATTGAAGCACATGACACCAAAGCTCAGTTGTTGACAAGCACCATGCCTCGCTTTGAAAATCGAAGCGCATGTCTTTTTATACTGAAGCAAAAACAACAGTGAGAGAATTAAGTACCGTGAATCGGGGCTCTTCTTATTCCCCCTCGTACCTGGAAATTACTGCCTACTGGTTCCTTGGCGCCTGGTCTTGGAAGGATCCATGTTTTGTCGAGCGCTCTGATGAGTTGATTCAGCTTATCCACATCGATAGCCTCGTTTCTTCCAGGGGTCTGAATGTAATAAAAGATACGGTGACAGCTTTTGGTTCGTAGCTATGCTCACATTCTGAGAGGGCCTATTCGGAACTCGTCCACCAATTGGTGCTGTCATTTGTCGGGACTTGGTTTCCTCAATTGCTCGATTCACTTGTGCCTGCCTTGAATCTGAAACTAAAGAAAATGTAATGATTCGAAGATTTTGGGGCTTCCTGCCGAATTTGTTGAAAACCAAAATGGGGAACAAAAACCATGGGATTTTTTTTGCACTACACAAGTTCTCGTCATGAGTGCTTATAACTAGCAAAATCTTCAATTTCTATGTGAATTTTGGGCATCTGAAGTTTTTCGAGGAATCACCTCCACAGTACCTCACATACACGTGCATAGAGATCTTTTCTTCGAAAGAAAGCTCAGTGAAAAGTGTTATCTTTCTAGCGGTGATTTCAGTATGGCTAACCAGCATCTTTCGTATGGCTTGAGCTGTTTTCCATTTTATATTTTTCGTAAATAAATGAGTCAGGTAGTTCGGATTACTTGGCACTGAGAATTTTGGACCAAACAATGTTTCATCCTTTGAAGATATATGAATGACGCTTTTCAACTTCTCAATACGTTTGAAAGAAGTTTGCATCATGATGGACTCACACTCACCTCGGTTGCTTTGAACACAGATGGTGCCAGTGGGTTCCCTCATAATATCAATGTTTTCATCGCTATTCAGAACTTCCATGGCTTGCTATTAAGCTTCTATCTTGAAGGGCGCACGTGTAGTAGTGGCAAGTGGCTCACTATTACACGTATGGCCAAGGGTCAAATTCCGGATTGACACCGGCCCAGACCAGCCGAGCCTTCCATCGGGATTGTTCAACTTACCAAGCTCAAGTGGGAGGATTGAAGCACAGACGTGAGTGTTGGCTGGCCATAACAAGTCATTGTACGCATAAGCAACATACGAATTACAAACGCCTCAACGATTCACAATATGAGTCGGATGTGAGGGCGCATTCCAAAACGGGAATGATCAGAGACAAAGACGCTTGCTGCCCGTTTTCATGACTTTGCAGCACAGGTTGGTCTAAGATCTCGCGGAAGTCTGGATCAATTGGCAGAGGTCATAAATGATTGTCTCAGCAGCTTGTGAGCTCTTACATAAAACACCTAGAGGCTCTTACAGATTGTAACATACAGGCATCATTCAGGCTTATGCTGCTTGAAAACCCAGTCTAGCAAATTCCTTCAGAGACTATGTAAGGAAACGAGAGGCCAACATGAAGAGAGTTGCTCTCATCCACTTGCCCGCAATGAGAGATCTTTGTTTTTCAGAAAAAATCTTTCACGTATGTAGTTTGGGCAAGACTTTAGGATCTTCAGCAATCCTTATGTGCCTACTCGATGCGCCTGTTATGATAATACCAAGGAGCCCAAAACTTGACTTGTTTTTTTCTTCTAGAAAACTCACTGAGATTTTTTTTGTGAACAACATTCATCTGGCTCTCACAAGTCATTGTGTAGGCATATTGCTCACGTATACTCTGAATGTTGAAAGGTGAGGTGTTTCCTTGTGAAATTGAGTGCCTGGCCCATCCCATTGGGTAAATTACTCAATGCTGTAAGTGCTGTAGGCTCGGTTGTTAGCCCCGCTCAGAAAATGCTTCTGAGGTGCGATGCTTTATTAGGAATGTAAAACGTCGATCAACATGATTTCTTTCCTCAAAGACTATTCCCAGCGACATACTTACAACTTACTAGGGTTTTGGAGAGAAAATACGCCAAGCTGAAGTGATCTCTTCGTGATTGGAGAACGAGCGCATATTCCCATATTTTCGAAAGCTTCCCTTGCTCCTGATGCGTGGAACCTTTCTCTATAAGCGCTTTCTGAGAGGTTGTAAATGAGCTGTTGTGCTCAAAAAGCAGAAATACAGCTCTCAAACCACAGCAAAAAAACAAACAAAAAAGATGCTATGGGATCAGCTTCACTTCCCGGAAAATTTATTAAGGAACGGTGGCTTTTCTCCAGTATAGAATATCTCGGCAGAGATATTTTAAATCTGCTCGAGCTCTCTGAAAAGGCTACCCCTTTGTTCATCTCAACATTTGTATTCATGGTTAATGTATCTCTCTTTCATTGTGCTACTCCATGAACTGGCAAAAGAGTGTGACTTCTTCAGGAAGTCAGCATTTCATGCTCGGTTTGGGTGCTCAAACTAGCTGTATCCCTCCTTGAGCGGCAATACTGTTGTAGTACTATTGGCAGCTGGTTGATATGACTCTACCACAAGAGTGATTCCACGACTTCAATGCATAAACATTGAAAATGATTTATAGAAATTTTTTTGAATGAGACGAGTGTTGCAATCCGCTACTTTCCTACTGCAAATGTTTTCTGTCCATCGTGCCTTTCAAGTGAACTTCAAGAACTGTTGCCTATGAGCGTTGACCCCGTTGAACGCGAACCCAGTCGTAGTCTTGACTCATCACGTGGCCACTGCTGTCAAATGAATCAGCCTCTGACCAGTCAATTCGAGAGCAAAAAANAAAAAAGAGTTCCAAAGCATTGCTGTTTGACCAGCAGCTTTTAAGGCCCGAGAGCGTCGAAAGCTTTGGCTCCCTGTTGGTAGAAGGGATTAACAGAAATGGAGAAGCCGGCAATTAGAGATCAACATTCGAACTCGCGCTGATTGTGGATGACAAAAAGGGGCCTTTGCCTCAGAGCATTTGGAATTCCCGTGTTTCGAACAGCTTCTTACAACGAAACTCCACACGATAACTAGTGTGCAAATAGTTTGAACGTGAGCCCTCCTGAAGGAATTCATTACCATTTCGGCATCTACACGATCAGTAAATGTTGCCTTACACAACATGATAAATTTTGATGGAAACATGCTGTTCACTGGATTGATAAGTTACCTTTCAAAACCTCTCAAAGGTGGGTAAACTATTGATATTTTGCGATAGCAGTAGGATCACTGACTGGGTACTAGCAAGGTTTCATTCTGCTGAGTTCGTCAGCAGTCTGAAGCTCATGGTGAGCACGGAATTCGCGTTTGCAGCAAAACGTGACGCCACACTTGAAAAGTTCTGGGGTTTCTATTTGCCAAGGCAATATGAAACAAGAGAAATGATGCATGTTTACTCACACAATAGGTCCATCACGCATCAGAGTAAACAAACTCATTATGCAATGGATCAGCTGATTGAACAGCTGACTTCATGAGACTACAGCTTTGAATACTGTATAGGCTGATAACGTTGGAAAGAAGGAGAAAGAGGTATCATCTTGATATGAAGACCAGGAGAGGGAAGCGCACCGAAAACGACTTGTTCTAAAACTATTTTCGAATCAGAGATGCTCAAGTGAGTGCTCATGGCCTGTTGATCATTTCCAAGGTTCTAGTGAGGCTCAAAACTGCATAGGACATTCGGAGTGAATGATCAAGATTTGGTTTGCCATAAGGAAGCAATGTAGTCCGCTAATTACTTGAAGAAGCCAGAAAAGTCATTAGTTTCCCTTTCAAAGATGATTTTATATGCGAAAATCATGAATACCTACCGGCAGCTGTAACTACGGATGCACAAATCGAGAGCAAAGCGATTTGTAAGAGCAACCGCATGACTTCCAGTAGGAGCAACTTTTGCTTGGTAGCGGAAAAATTTAAGGCGTCCGCGAGTGGAGCTGAAAAGAGAGCAGCGAACAGGGATAAATGTGTGGTGGTCACATACATACACACACACAGTGGGGGCGCGGTCAAACAGGCGAGACGCTCACTGACATAGCGTGGTTGAATGTGAGATGCTGAGTGAAAGAATAGAAGGAGAATGTGACCGTCGACAGCTGGTCACGAAAGGGTTGAGGCAATTGGGACGAAATGAGCTATTTCGGGAATGCACCGCCACTCATCTCTCAACGGTTGCCCGCAGGCACACCTGAGACAATGAGCACAGCAGCCGATTCGTTGTCTTGAACTTGAGGACAATTAAGTTTTGCTGTCGGGTTGCTCTCGAGCCGTCATACAGAAAGATACAGGAGAATCAAGAATGGATCTAAAATCTGAGAGAGAGACAAATCAGGTTTTTCACCACATCTCCATCAAGTAACTGCTATGCTGCGACGAGTTGTGTTCACCTCGTTTGCGGGCCCGGTCATGGATTTGGTCCAAGGATCATAGAGCTAACAACAAGAGCAGGGAATTGGAAACAATGTGTTTCACCCAAGCCTTCAGGACCACCCCTTTAGCTACCAGATCGTAAAGCATACACCCTTTTTCATCAGCTATGGAATCCTAAGACATTACCTGAACGAAGAGTGTTCGACTACTCTGAGGCACAAACCAGGGATGAGCATCCAGCTTAAGAGCAAACAAATGAAAGCGTGATCAATCATCTAGGTAGTGGTGAGCTGCTTCATAGCCCTGCCAAGGACAAGATTCCCAAAAGCGAAATATTTATTCCTTAGAATTGCCGATCAGCTCTGCCTAGGAAGGAAAATTATGCAATATTGATAAATACAGAACCAAACTTTCACAACTTTGTTCAGAAGTATTTAGATGGAGGAATTCTCACAGATAATGGAAACAGTACTAATTATTTCAATTTTATTGGGCGATCGTCGGGCTTAGGCCTTCTTGATTTTGGCTCGAATTCCAACTACTACGACGAATTTCTGAACAGCTGTCATTCTACACGTCATGAAATCGTGAACCAGTGGCTAAAGTAGTAGTATCGTCTCCTGTCGGTCCTTATCTTATTACTGACTCATGAGGGAGTTGGACTGGACTGTCTGTGCCAAAGCAAGAAGGTGCCAATAAGTGCGAAAGTCGAGATGTGATAATTAATTCACTGGTGATACCCTGACTACTGGTAAATCACAGAATGAATGGATCACTATTTTCCCAGGGCTCATTCAAGTTCAAGTGCTTAAATGTTTATGTAAACTTATCGTTGGATGAGCTAGGAGGTAAAATGGCTTCGATCGAGCTGTTTCGTGAATGTCTTCCAAGAGTCTCAAGTGCGGGACACGCTGCTTGTTCAACTTTTTTCATCAGTTTCTGTGAAAGGAAAAGGGGAAGATCAGCGGTAAATACAAGATAGTAATTTGATTGAGCTCATTATGTTATAAGCTTTGTAAGAATAAGAGGATATCTTGACATCAATGAATTCTTTGATTTCTTTACTTAAAACCGCATTGTTTCCTATATATGAATAATCATATGAAGGGTACTCCCAAATGAGCCTTCGACCTTAGCTGGGATAAAAGAGCTTACCTGATGACAGGGATCATGGTCATTTCTCTATAGAAAGGCTTATCACTTGTGACGTCATCGAACAGCACTCTCAGGAAAGCTATAGTAGTGGTCTAACTAGGGTAACGGAACTTCTCCCCGATTGCGGCATTCTCCCTTGCGGCATGCGGCAAACGCCACTGCAATTACCGTACTCACCCCGCCCCCGCCAATCGATAGGACGCAATATTTTTCGTTGGTTGCCTTTCTTTTTTATTGGTTTTGATCGTTTTTTATCTTTCTTTTTCTAGTTTTTATGTATATTAGACTTGTTTAATTAGAATGACTCCTTCTATATTAGCTACGATCAATACGGCATTGGAATTGAAGGTAGCGGCCAGCCAATTCAAATAATTAAAGGACTCCCCACCTCACAAATTGCGCGCTCCAACCTTCCATCACAATCCTGCGATAC